AGGTGAACGAGCAAATTCCAGGGTGCCGTTGTACCAAACATTACAAAATTGAAAATCATACTCAAATGAAGACACCAGGACGGAGGAAGAATAGTAAAATGAATTGAAACGAACGGCAGTTGCGAACGTGAGGTACAGGGTATGGTACGAATAAATAAGAGTTCCTATTACTTACGAGCGAGTCGACAGAACAGACAAAGAGAAATGTATGATGATCATTTATAAGTCGAGTGTAATGTTGGATGTGAACGCTTATCATAGGGCTACAGTTTGCATGAACAAACCTGGATAATTAGTTGAAAGATATTTCATCTACGGTAACTGATAAATTGGTTTTAGAAAAGGTGTATGCTGGTTTCAAAGAGAACGTCAACAAGATAAATCAAGTTTCTTCAGTTACTTTTTGATCAGCGTGAATGGCAATTTTTTCCCGGGTAAGATGCTTAATAGTAGTTTATTCATTTCGAATGTACTTCATTTAAAGCACAGAATATCGTTCTCNCCTCAAAGAGTTGTATCGTCATGCCCCAGATCGGGATAGGACTTCTGACCAACGTTTTCATTCTTTACTGTCTCCAAAGAAGTGTGAGGAGTTTGTTTTGTATCCTTGTTCTTTGTAGACTTTTCCGTAGGAGATGTTCTGCAAAATATTTTGTCCGGGTCCCACAAATGGTGGAGTTAAACTTCTCAGGGAATAAAGTTTCTGACCCAGAATATGTCGATACTATACTCAGGTACTCTAACGCGGGTTAGATGCTTAATAGTAGTTTATTCATTTCGAATGTACTTCATTTAAAGCACAGAATATCGTTCTCAAGTGCCAAAAGCAATTACAGTTCAGTTCAGTTTTTACAACCATTAACCATGCAGTTTCGTGCGCCGGTTTGAGTTGCCGTCTTTTAGTGCCCCATTTGGATAAAAGAGCAGAATGTAGACTGGACTGTTGAAAGTAAATTCAAGCGGAAATGGAGAATTCATATAGAATGCTGATAGGGAAAAATGAGTGGATACACAAGCGCCGTTGTTTGCGACATCCAGTTATATCACCCAGTGTATCTAACCATCAGCGACCATCATCCAGAGGACCCCAGCGACATTATATATATATATATATATGCCCAGTTATAGCATCATACGCCCTTTAAACGGGATCAAACGTCCAAGGTGCCCAATCGATCCGGTGACCACTACCACAACCTGAACATACTCAGATAGAGTGGCAGGGGNACACTCACCCTCGATGGTGGTCGGTTAGGGATAGTCGAGAGCATTAAGTACCTCAAGAACACAACCCCAGATAGAGGTGGCGTCGAACAAGAGGTAATATAAGACGTAACGAAAGGTAGAATAACCTTCGGTACCGTGCGAAACCTGTGACATCACATAGCTCTTGTTTGGTGGGAAAATCGAGTGAACAGTCACGATTTTAGTCGTCGTATGTTGGGTGCTTATAGTAGTTTTCTGAAAGAGAAAAACGCTCGAAATAATGGTCTATTGAGCTCGGAAAGGATGCTTGAGGTCTATCGCAGAAGTGATTGGGACCGCAAATTGATCAGATAACTAATTCTGGAAGGTGTGTTAAGGTGTTTACAATGATCAACATATCATCTTGCGGTGTATGACTATGATTGCTAGTCATTGTTCCGAGCGTTGGAATCGCCAGCAGCAGTGATCTGGTCGTTATTGACAGACCGCAAATTGCTGATTTGGAGCAATGGGTAAATAATAAACTGCACAACAATCATAACTGTTAGGAGAAAGGTAACGAATACTAAGCTAGTGGTTTTGTGAAAGAATTGGAAGCCTCAGGCATNGAAGAACAAACGACAGCCTGTTTTGTGAACAAGCACGTACACCGGTATAGTATATTGATAGTGAATGAAATTGATAATGCGGAAACAGATATGTAGGAAGTTCTTTTGGTCTCTGATAGAAAGGAAAAAGCGGGAACTAGGTACAAGTTAGTGATGCTCATAATCAATGTTGCAGTTAGAACCGCAAAAGTTTGTGAAGGAATTTTTAGAGCACATACGAGAGTAGGCTTGCGAAACGATTAGTCGTGTAGTATGTGATTTCATGATGTTTTGTAAAAATATCGGTACTCTTATCCCCAAAACTTTGAAAGCAATGGTACGGAAAAAACACAGGATCAATGGCAGTGAGAAAAAAAACTATCGGCAAGGTGGTGTTCGTCTGTTCTCATTGGTGTCTGCGGTTAACGACTGAAAACGCTTGCCTGTCGGTCGTTGAGGTGTTTACATTGTGCTGGCGCAACCGGGTGTGGTGCAGTATGTCTGGATGATCGTTGAGTCTCGCTTGCCATTGGAGAACCGTTAACATTCTCGATTGACTGTTGTATCGAGGGTTATTTGTTAAAAATGAACAAGAGTCGCCTTTTCTCCATTTCGCCATGTCTCTTGTTCGCCGAGCTTGGCAATTTGTTTGCAAACGTCTCATCACCAGCCGAGGTGACATCATCAGTGCTTGTGAAGTGGCAGTGTCCTGCCTGTGTCCGTTAGTTTATATTTGTGTTCTTCTCCACCGACTACTTTTGTCCCTTGTTCTCACTATGTTCGACTGGGTGCGCCGTTAAACTAGTGCGCGGGAGAGGCCAAAGCACACCAGAGAAATTCTCGAGGCCTGGCACCCTTCAATCAACTCCATAAACAGGCACATCGAACTTGATCACGTGTACACGCCAATGCAACGCAAGGATCAAATGACACACAGAAAAAGGTCACGCCGTGACCTGAGAACGGACGGAAACCGCAATAAGGACGAACCCCTGCCATCTTCAACCCCGCGCACCCAGTCGAACAGAGTGAGAACAAGGGATAAAAGTAGTCGGTGGAGAAGAACACAAATATAAACTAACGGACACAGGCAGGACACTGCCACTTCACAAGCACTGATGATGTCACCTCGGCTGGTGATGAAACGTTTGCAAACAAATTGCTAAGCTCGGACGAACAGGAGAAATGGAATTCAGTTCACCCGAGCTACGAGAACCGATTTTCAATCATTTGGAAACAAATATGTAGGAAACATTCAAGTTCACTTGGTCTGGGATAGCAAGGGGGAAATCGGGAAATAGATTCAAAGTAGTGATGCTCATAATCAATGTTGCAGTTAGAACCGCGTCCGGCAACCACGTCCAATGGAAGGGTATGAAAATTGAGCTGTATGCCATGAAATTGGTAGGGAAGCAATTTGCGTCGGTGAAAAGACAGGCAAGGATTGTCTGAGTAGGAATTATTATTTTTAACACCCAATGTTGAAGGTTTTAGAGGTTTTACATCTACATTCATCTGGATTGTCTAATTAGGGTGGAGAAACCAGAGGATGTTTGAGAGGCTTAGTCCTATAGGGTATCAGGAGATGCAAGGGTAGCCATTCACAGAGCAAGACACAAATCCCTGACAACTTAACGGCTTTCCATCACGAGGTGAACACAATGATATTTTTTGTTCTATCTTCAAGAGCTAAAAAGACACACCGACGAATAAGGAATACGCGATCTTATGATACAAACAGAAAAAGAGTAGACGCATTAGGAGGGCATACGATCGAAAACGATGTCTCTACACATTAGACGTGTGACCATTGACAAAGTATCCTTCAAATCAGGAATTGTGTTACGGGGTAAAAGCAGAGACATCATTACCATGAACAGGCTAACAACTCAGTTGTGAAACGTGACAAAGTGAGTGGAAACTGGTGTGAAGAATGATAGGCATGTACATTGTATGAGGAAGAGCAAGAAACCAGCCGAAATATAAACGCCACCTACCAGCATTGCGACGGGGCACATTGAGATCGGCAATCCGCTGCCAAGTGCCTGTCTCAGGTGAATACACTTCCGCAGTATTTCGCACGGCCGGACCGTCATGTCCTCCAACCGCATACAAACGATTGTTTAACTCGCAGACTGCCGGCCCGCTTCGCCTAAATTAAACGAAACAAACGGAAACCATCAATGAGACCGCGCATAAAGGAGTATAGTCTATTTACACCGTAGGATAAAGAAACACGGTCACAAACGATCGACTTGTGTAACATTATCGGTTCATTAAGGAAAGGACCCTAATGAAACGACTCGATAGGTCAGTTATATCAGGCGTTTCAGCATTCCGTTCAGCTGCGAGCGCTAGAACGAGACCAGAGCACAGCCACTGATGACAATACTTCAGTTGGGCAACATACCGACAACTTAGATCAGCCACTGGACTCCAGGTGTTTGTGACGGGATCATAGCATTCCACCGAGGATAAGCAACGACGAGCAACACCATCATAGCCACCGACAGCATAAATCTTGCCATCCAATGCCCCTGCCCCCACAGACGACCGTCGACAAGACATTGGGGCGATGAGGCGCCACGTTCCTGACCATAAATCGAACACTTCGGCAGTGTTAAGGCCTAGAGGAACCGTAATCATACAAAAAAAATTTAAATTTGAAGATCAACATGGAACACAATCGCTGAGGTAGTCAAAACAATGAACGCTATTTATTTATAACATGCCATCACATAACACTGCTAAAAATTTGAGGAATCACGTCAGTTCATGATTTTTTCTCAATGCAAACATTTCATGCTCATTTTCAACTCAACAGCTATGATGTCTAATATCCAGCGATCACCAGGAGGGGAATTAAACACTGCACTTCCTGTACGGAACATATTTTATTTGCCTGTGACAAAAAGATTATCAGCTAATTCAACCCAGTGGTCATTCACGTGTCAAACTAAACAGAGTGGCTTAGTAAATAGATTGATCGGATACTATATTGAGGCAGAAATGCAAAAGAATACATGTAAAACTTCAGTCATGACAGATCCCTCACTTAGTGAATAAAAAAGAATAATTGACCCTACAACCCATGAATCCATATAAACGAAAACAAGGTTATGCGCACCAAAGCAGAGCTGTACAATTCACTGGGTTGCAGGTAGGAATCCAGCGAAAAATCCAATGATTTACCGTGAATAGTATTAGCCTATAACCTCTAAACTCGTGATCGGGGATGTGATTGGTGTTTTTCTTGGTTAACACTGTCTATTATAAAATACTGCATAGTTCTATCGGCCATTGCTCCCACCGCATTCCATCTTTCCGACACGATTACCCGTAAGCGGCGAAAGAACTGCGCAATAAGCCACTGGATGGTCTGGAGTAATCCTGCTGCCTCTAGCCCCACCCAGATGTGCTAGGCCTCGAGGTGAACCCTTGCGAAAAAGGCCGAATTAAGTGTCACAAGCCCAACTACTTCTCCGAACTGAGCGACCGAGCAATAAAAAAGCATTGATGTGTGCTGGGAATATTGCACCTCATCGTATTTCTACGAATAACATCGATGGAGCCGACTCGTGTTCCAGCAGAAAAAGGTGGAACACAAGTCAGAGTAAATTATTCCATTGTGAATGTCATAATGTTATAATAACACAGCGATGTCAGTGGAGAATTATGTTCACCTAACATTACTTGGTCCCGATGTGTTCTGAATTATTCAATGGTCAAAGTTTAATTTGATCCCCCATCTTCTTCGGAAAAAAGAATCATTTCAATTAACCATTCTTTTGTAGTCAGAAAACGTGGACAGTTGCGTTTATCTATCCGAATGATTACGGATTTATTAGAACAAAAATGACAAAATGAACGGATGTCGTTTCCGTTTGAATCCAAAATCACCAATGAATTTCTTGTTAGTTAGTTATTTGCACCGTTTAGAAAGCAAATATATCAGATGTCATACGCTAGACATAGTTGCCACTGGCAGAAACAAAGAGTTCGAAATCTGTGTCGATACGGGAAGGAGAAAGTGTAATCCTTGCGACAATATGCAGTCATCGGGGATTTAACATGTGCATCGTAAAGGATGATTTATTGACATTTCTGTACTTTCTACAAACCGCGGATATATATGATTTATTGCACATTGCCGACCTACACCAATATGGGCACTCCTGACATCATTATAAATCACAGAATTAGTGTGATCCCAGGCGAACTAAATCCAATATTTACATAAACATGAGGTCGGGAACGGATCGCACAGAAGCACCATGAAGTGCAAAAGCTAAATCATAGCGGGACGACGACAAGCAGCTGTTTCGCAAAACAATAGATCCAAGTTGCCCGGAAAAGCGATTCAAGAACTGTGATACCACAGAAAACGATAACATTCTGTACTTGAAAAATTTTATTCGTGGATACTATAGATAGAGCCTGGAAAGAAATCTCGAAAGCACTATCGAAGGTTTTTATTCAACTTGGTGATTTTACCTTCGGTGCAGAGCCCCCGGCTACACTGAGGGCTATCGCAGGAAATTTTAGTGTATCATGTATTTGGTCCTCAGGGCTTCATCTACGGACGATTCACAGTGACTCCAGGCTAAAAGCTTGTGGCGAATTTTTCACTGTGATATAAATTTCTGAATTTTAACACAATTCACGAGAATCACGGTGATTGAGATTTCGGCCCGAACGAAACCATCACATGTAGAAAAAATTAAATAGAATAAGTGCTTGCTTCGGTAAGAAATGAATTGAAAAAAAAACAATCCATGTTATTTCAAATTGAGTAAATTAGTCTGAAAACAGAGTGAAAGTGTAGATGGTTGGCTGTGACAATGGGTATGCGGTAGAGGTTACTGATATTATGGCAAATCTAGCATCATTCAAGTACAAACCGGCCGTTCATTTAGCTGAATATGAATATCTAAACATGAGTCATGATATCATTCGATACGGCTTGAGATTAATCGGAAATTCGTATTTCCGGGGCGACGCCATGGATTGTAGACTCACCCAGCATGACTGAACTGGAAATCCTAATAGAAAAAACCTATCAATGTTCATAAAAGAATTACAAAAGATATATTATTTACCCCCAAGTGAACATGCAATCATACCACGTGATGGAAAAATTATCACGCGGAGCGGATGTCAAATGAAGCTTACAATATTGGTGTCATAGATACGTTGCTGCAGGAGTAAATCATTCCCAGTACTGCAATCTTCACCGACAATTTTGGTTAACAATTAATTAAATGTAGTGCCTGGGATTGTGTCAGATTTTATATATATATATATATATATATATATATTTAACCAGTTCTGTGCAGATCAGTTAAGCACATGGTTCCATTTAGCGTACATCCTTCGTGATCACGTGATTTCACGATAGCATGGCCTTAGACAGCTTTGTGTGCAGTTAGCTGTCCAATGCTTGACTTAATACTAGTATCGGATCTACGAAACTTTGGATGCCCTAGGAAAATAAGATAATAGACCAAGAAAACAGGACACCAAACGGAACAGAGAAAGAAGTGTAAATGGTGGTGAACCAAATGAATGAAGGACACATAAATCACGTAAAACCGGGAATAGTGTTACGCCATGTGAAAGTTTGTTGAAAATGAATAAAAACTCTGTTTGTATTACGGAAAACAAAAAAATGGCATTTCGAGTCAGGCCTACAGTGTACTAAATAAATGTTATTCCTTTTTCTTTCATTTCCGTTTCTTGTGGCTTAACCAGTTTCAGTTTTCAGTTTTTACAACCATTAACCATGCACTTTCGTGCGCGGTTTTGGTTGCCCATTTGGATAAAAGAGCAGAATGTAGATTGGAATGTCGAAGCAAATTCAAGCGGAAGATGGGTAATACATATAGAGCGGTGTTAGAAAAATAACGAGTGGATGCACGAGCGCCAATGTTTGCGACACCCAGCCATATCACTCAGTGTAGCTAACCATCGGTGACCATCATCTCGAGGTCCCCAGCCAGGGAGCCTAACGCGGCCTATGTGACCTAGTCTCCTGGTTAGGGTTTTCATACCCTCGTGCCAGGTCTTAGCTTGACCGCTCTTCGTTTTTTTCTAGTCGCTACCAGCCTTGGCAAACATCGTTCGCCGTGGCAACCTATCTGGTGACATGCGTAGCACATGTCCCAACCAGCGTAATCTATGGAGGTCGATCACTTGCTCTAGTGGACGACCGCGACTGCCTAAAACTCTACGCCTGAACTCAGCATTGCTAGTCCGGTTACCCCACCAGACATGTGCAATGCTACGTAGACAGCGGTGTTCGAATACCGACAATCTATTTTTATCCTGTTCCTTTAGTGGTCAAGTCTCTGGCTTAGCCAACGATCAAGAGAAAATTTCCCTGGATGTGTGCTGCAGCATTCAAGTGTTTCGGAATAAAATACATTTAACCTACAGCTGCTTTTTTCAACAGAACTACTACTACCTCAGAAAGAATCTGGGATAAAGGCTACAAAGCAACTTAATTCACTGTAAGTGAAAAGATATATACACAAACTCAGGGAACGAAAAACACACATGTCCCGATCAAGTACAAATGAAGTTGGAGATTATTTGCGCTTGACGATGCGTAAATGATTTAATCATTCTCCAACAAGACAAGAAAACCCATACAACACTTGACGCTCCAAGTATTCACGAAGTACACAATACGTATGTTCAAACAGCTATTGTTTAAATTGTTTAATTTCAAATGATGCCACCCCGGTGCAGCATTCAAATCGATTTCTAACTTGTGTGTTGAGGAAAACGGGGTTCACCTATCCCAGGTAACAGGGATGTGAAGGAAAGGAATAAATATCGAAAAGCAATTAGCAGCCTGAACGGAAATCATCAGGGCCTCTCCCACGGTCTCATTTTCTGTGATTCTACTCACTGGAGGAACTGACTGGATCAATTTTCCTGGTTATCTCACTTGTAGATTTGTTTCCAAGCGTCTAACTTTCAACACCACTTGACAAACTAATATATATGTTCAATTATGTCTAATTTTATAATCGTATGCAGGACAGTGCATACATTGGTGCTAAGTAAACCCAAACAGTAGTATATTGGAAACTTAGAAGAATAGTATCCCGTAAAAGCACGATGCTTGTCGGATGGGAAACAAAACTGAAAACGCGAACGTGGTGCCCATTATTTAGACAGACAACGTATACTTCATACATAAAATACTACTAACTAACTACTAAACTTCCTGGAGGCCTGCAGCAAAATATATACCAAAGTGTCTTGCGAATCTAACGTTAAATGAGAAAAGATGACAAACATACCAGGTGCATGGGAGAAAGATAAGAATGGATCCAAACCTAATGCATACTGCAGCGACTACTGAGGGATGTCAGTATGCACAAGTACGTCGGCCTACGTAAACAAGCGCTTCGGACACGACTCGTCTGTCTGTGCAAGAAAAAGACAGAGTGACTGGTGACTTCACTTGCCACGACGAGACTGCACCTTGAATTGGTGTGATGGATTGCGTGCCTCAATGACCCTGCGAGCTACACAGGATGGCGTCTCACAGCCATAGATCCAATCATGCCTGAAAGGTCAGTGTGTAGAGGCCAGAAAAACCTCATTCTCACAAAGC